AAGATTGCATGAATCCTACTGTTGTAATCTCAGTGCATTGAACTCTTCAACATTGAAAATAGACAAACAAATTCTAAAAAGGTAAATCCAATGAGTTTTTTTAAATTCATTCATATGATGTGAGAATTACTGGCTAAGTTAGCATTTATCATTCATTCCTATTTGCCCAGAGGGCAATTACATGTCAACCACATTGGTATGCATCTTTGGTCACATGAAGTCCAGACGGGGTTAGGACAGCACATTTTCTTCCCTGACGGGCAGTAGTGAAACAGGTAGGTTTTTACTGACAGTAGCTCCATGGCTGTCATTTGTCTAGCCTTTAATTCCAATTTTACCATTTGTCATGGTGGGATTCAAAATCATGCCTCCAAAACGTCACTGAAAACAACAAATGCTGGAGATCACAGTGGGTCAGGCAGCATCCCTGGAGAGAAAGCAAGCTAACATTTCAACTCTAGATGACTCTCCCTCAGAGCTCTGATGAAGAGTCATCTAGGCTCAAAATGTTAGCTTGCTTTCTCTCCATGGATGCTGCCTGACCCACTGTGATCTCCAGCATTTGTTGCTTTCAGTACAGATTCCAGCAATTACAGTAATTTGCTCCTCCCTGGAACATTACCCTGAAAGTTTTGGTGTTACTAGGCCAGTAACTTCACAATGCCAACTCATCGCTGAGGTTGATTTGGCTGAATAAACATTGTGATCTTTCTGTGCACAACATAAATACAGACATTCATTAGCTGCACTTAATTTTACAACAGCTTAACTGATATCCTTCCTTATCATTGTTACCAAATACTCTCATTGACTGAATGTCAATGTTCGACCTGCTGCATGGGCATCCAGCTGGGTATGTAACATAATGGGCATATCATGTTCCAATTCTATGTTACCCACCAGATCCATCTTTGCTTATCATTCATACAGTAGTCCATCAGAAAACTAATGAAGCTAACCTAACTGAAGTTTGAAAATTCAAGTTACAGACTCTCCTGGGATTCAGACTTTGCAAAGTGGTGGTGGGGAAACAAGCACTGAACATTTTGTTACAAGGTCACCTTTGCAGTGAATTTTAGAGTCAGTTTTCCATTTGAGAATTATTTCATCCTCCATGGGGAAGATTTTTTAAAATTTATTATTCATCTGTTGAAAACTGTGGAAGTCATTAATTGCTTTGTGAGTTGCCAAAGCTCTTTTTTTTTTGAGACAGATATGCTCTTGTTCCATTGTGAATATTATTTCTAACCGATTTATATTGATTTGCTTTCAACACTTAATGCTGGTTAAATGTTTTATCCATTTTGGGCTCTGCCAATCACTCATATTACTATTTTCAGATTTACACTTAGCAAAACCACATGAAACATGTCTTATTGGAGTCTTTGTGCAACAGATGGGAAAAAGAATCATAATAAACTAAACACTTCAGTTGGTAATAATTACTATTCTCAAAGTTTAAGGAATAAATGCTAAATTATCTTCTGGACTTTAATAATCTGTATTTGATATAAGAATTTATCATGGATGATTAGCTTTTGGATAAATGCCAACTTGTATTGGGTTACCTGAGAAACAGCAACACTACACTTAAAAATGAATTATCTAAGAAAATATTACAACTGGGAGTAGTTTGCGATGATAGGGTTAAGACATTATAATATACATTTTTGATCTTCCGACTTACATTGCAATTACTTACAATTTTGCATAGCAGGTTTGTCTGATAATTGAATTACCTCATGATGCCATACTGAAGCCGACTTGAATCATAGAATCCCTACAGTGTGGAAGCAGGCCATTTGGCCCATCGAGTCCACACTGCCTCTCCATAGAGCATATCACCCAGACCCCTACCCTATCCCTGTAACCCTGCATTTTCCCATGGCTAATTCACCTAGCCTACACACTCCTGGACACTATGGGCAATTTAGCATGGCCAATCCACCCAACCTGCATATCTTTGGACTGTGGGAGGAAACCGAAGCACCCAGAGGAAAACCACACAGGACAGTCGTCCGAGGCTGGAATCAAACCCAGGTGCTGTGAGGCGACAGTACTAACCAATGAGCCACCGTGCCACCCCAAAACATCTTGCCAATTTCTTTGTTAACCTCTTAAAAACCCATTGGGAAAAGCTGACAAATAACAATGAGATGTATTTCTCCAATTAATTATCTGAATATTAATTCCAAACTAAAACATTGCCTGCAGTTAAGCATGCCTCTGGTAGTTAAACTGAAATATTTGGAACTCTCAGATATAATGATACTTTAGATGGTTATAGTGTGCATTTGCCAACAGTCTTGTTAAGATAACATCCAAATGTGTCAAAACCTACTTCAAGTTACATTGACTGCAGGAGAAAAACAGGACACTCAGCCAAATTGATCTTTTCTGTTATTTCTGTTCCAAATAAGCCCCTTTCATCTTACATGAACAACATATTCTTCAATTCCATTTTCCCACATGTGCTAATTTGATTTCTATTAAATGCTTCAGAGCTATTTGCTTCAAATACTCCAGAGGTGTCATATTCCACATTCATCTTGTCCTTTGATAAAGAGATTTCTCCTGAACTCCTAATTGGATGTATTTGCAATTACTTGTATTTATGAGCTCTATTTTGGGCTCCCTATTTTCCAAATGTTCACTCAATCAAGCCCCTTTATTATCTTAAAGATCTCCAATGGGTCTCCCATCAGCCTTCTGGAGAAAATGCCACAGGCTGTGCACTGGATAAATGTGTATTTTTAGTTCTGGTATCATTCTTGTATTTTTCCTTTCGCACCTTCACCAGTGCCTTTACATCTTTTTAGAATACAGAGATCAGGTTTGCACATAGCATTCCAGATGTCAAGTTACAACGGTTTAACATAACATCCTTGCTTTTCAGTTTATTCCTACAGAAAGGAGCCCCAGTGCTTGTTTATCTTTTTTAATGACTTTATTCATCTGAGCTGCAACTCACAATGACATGTCTATAACCTAGACCCTTTGTTCATCTGCCCCAGACATTTTTTTTAATATCCATGGAGTATGCAGCTTCTTTATTCTTTCCAACAAAATGCACCGCTTCGCATTTATCTACATTAAAATTTATTTTACAATTACACGCCCATTCTGTAAGCTTATTATTGTCTTTCTGTGTTTCATTACATTCTTTTGGAGTATTAATTATTTTCTACTGCTTCTTCTTTGAAAAGTTCAATAATGGTCAAGCATGATACCTTCAGAAAACTGCACAATTACATTATTACATTTCAGATAATGAATATAATTTTATTTCCTCTTTAAGCAAAAATTCTACTATCTTTTCCACCATTGATATTAAACTAACAGGTTTTTAGTAATAAAAAGGATTGGTTATATATATCCCTTTTCAAATATAGAATCCAAAACTTCGAGGTTATGGTCTAAAAATAAGGGGTTGCCCATTCAAGACTTAGACTGCCAAAGTCCTGCTGGACCATAGGCTGCTCAACTATTAGAGAGAAAACTGGGCATTTGGTGGCTTAACCCGAGGGTCACCATGCCTTAAGTGAGGGGAGAGACTGAGAATGGGAACTTAATGGTAAACTCAGCTGGATGTGGGAATTGAACCCACACTGTTTGTGTCACTCTACATTGCAAACCAGCCATCCAGCCAACTGAGATCGAAAGGCGAAGTGTACAAATTCTTAGATGTGACACTGGAAATCCTCCTGCAGCTGACCTAGAGGAATGTCCTCGATCCATATGGGGATAGAACATTACTGTTCCTTCCTGCCCCTTTCTCCACTAGCAATTAATGGTGTTCTGCCTGCCCTTGTCCAATTCTTCATCCAAATCAAGGAGGACATCCTACCAAGATGCCCACTATTTTCTCTGGGTGATTCCTAGATTTGTAGCATCACACCACTTACTCAGAGAATTTCTGAACTAAATACTGCTGGAGTTGAAAAGACACCCAGAAAATCCTCTGTTCAGCATCAGGAGCAATGATCACAAAATGCTGAAATTCCCTTTAAGCCAAAATTGACGTCAGTGCCTTGTTTACTGGTCACTGTTAAGAAAGTGCTGAAGTACTCACCAAAGTGCCACGTGCTCACTAAAGAGATTTAGTCAACATTTAAGTATCAACCAACTATTCAACTAATCTTCAGGCAGACGTTGTCAGTTTTGGCTTTAACATCTTGACTGAGATGCTGTCTTGCACTAAATGCAGGCTAAACAGGCTTATCAGTTTAAGACCCAATCTTGGCCAATTCTTTCATAGTACTTGAGAAAAAAATGTTGTATGTTGTTCATGATTCGTGTTTCAAGTTTCTGTTTTATGCACTGGCACAGAAAATTGAAGTCTTGTCGTAGTGGATAGTATCTCTGCCTCTGAGACAGAAGCTCTGAGTTCTAGTCCCATTCTAGGACTTGATGGCTGAGGGGAAATACATTCATAATGCGGCCAAACAAGTTGATGATCAACTTGCAAATCCTTCCATTACATGCCAGTGGGAAAGATTCCTGGTTAATCATGTGCTGTAGAGAAATTGGAGCCTTGACCATCATTATCCAAAGGTGCAGATACAATATGCATGCAAATATGTGTTACCACAGCAACTCAGACTCCACGAGTTATCTGTAATGCCACCATCACCATAAGAAAGCTATCAACACATGATCAAGTATCATACATTTATTTAACACTGCTGGCAGTCTGTTACATATTAATTAAATGCTATTACTTAACTAAATATTGTATTTTTAATCATTTGTTTGTTTAACATTGATTTGTATTTCACATGTTCACTGTTCATCCTCCTTGTCATAGCATATTCTGTCCTATATGACAGTCTTTAATGCTGAGGGGCTTGTTTTTATTACAACACTCAGTTAGTGTTGTGTTGGCTTCAGCCAGCTGAAATAAACACTTTTTGTACAAAATTATTTCCAGTGACATTATTTCCCAAATTTCTATTCAGAAGATTGTGTGAAATTCTCAGTAACTCAGGTAGTATCTGTGGAGAGAGAAACAAAATTAGCATTTCAGGTTTATGACTTTTCACTGAAGAACTGGAAAATGCTGGCAATGAACAGCTTTTAAGTAGAGAGATCCAGGGCAAAGGTAGGAATCCCATTGATGAGGTGGATTGCAGGAGTGATTAAAAAAGAGATGAGAGTGTAAGACAATAGGTGCTTATAATAGGATAAACACAAACAAAAGATCAGTATTGAGAAATTGTAAATGGTTACAGAGTGCCCAAGAATAAATTGAAGCTGTTACAAGTAGCTCAAAATTAAAGCCAGGCAGCTGTAATCTGTCTATAGTACCTACTATGAAAGATAGCGTCTTGCGTTGAACTTCTTCAAAACAGAGCAGAAAACTGAGGTCAAATTGGGACTGGGACAAAGAATTAAAGTGGCATGCTAATGCTTGCAGAATCAACAGTTTAGCAAAGTGATCATCTACAGATATATTTCATTTATTGCACTGAGCAGCAATATTTGAAAGATAATCAGCATTGCCATTTTGTTGATTAACAGACCAAGACGTAGAATGGACATTATTCTTGTAAAAAATACCCCACAGAATTTACAGCTAGATTGGCAATTGTCACAAAAAGCACAAGAATGTACTCAGACACTGTGAGAGTTTAACCAACTAAAATAAGTGCATGCAGCATTTTAGTATATCAACTGCTTGTACAGCCAGAACCCATTTTTATGATATTGTCTGCAGTTGAGTGGAAAGAGTCACAATATCTAGTATCATTTGTTCTACTGTTGAGCCAGATGACCGAGGAAGAAAAACCTGAAACCAGTTGGGAACTGTAATCACATCTAACCAGTTTCTAATAGAAATAACCTACCATGTGCGAGGTACAACCAGAACAACTGGGAAATCCAACTACAAACCACTTTGGGCAGCATGGTGGCTCAGTGGTTAGCACTGCTAGCTTACAGTGCCAGGGATCTGGGTTTGATTCCAGCCTTGGGTGACTGTTTGGAATCTGCATGGGTTTTCTCTGTGTGCTTTGTTTCCTCCCACAGTCCAAAGATATGCAAACTAGGTGGATTGGCCATGGTAAATTGCCCCATGGTGTCCAGAGATACGCAGACTAGGTGGTTCAGCCTTGGTAAATACAGGATTATGGAGATAGGAGGTGGGTCTGGGGTGGGACTCTCTTCAAAGGGTTCATGCAGACTCGATGGGCCAAATGGCTTCGATCTTACCTGCAACAATTTTACGATTCATTTTAAACTCAATTCTAAGTCGGGTCTTCCTGCTTCCAACTTAATGGAGGAACAGTATGCCAACTTCAGTGTTCTGTTGCAGGTAGCCCTATATGATTTTTCCAGTATTCCCATCATACCCACTATGGTGGACTCCATTAAATTCCATGCCCTCTTTACAGTAAAGTTACAGTGGGAGCAGTCTGAGGAATTTCCCAGCTAAAGCCAATGACAAGTAATTTCTGATGGAACCTTCTCTTCACGAGAAGAGGTTGCGAGCCAAGTGCTGATGAGACTACAGGGTACTGACTACAGCCTGGTGCTAGAATAGTCCATATTTCTAGGATGACAATTACAGTTTGAACATGGAGAAAAAAAATCAGAAATTACTGCTTTACTTTGATAGTGTAGAGTCGTGAGGATTAATTTGCTCTTCTCTATTCAAGAGCTTCTCTTAATTCCCAGGATTTGGAAGAAATTGAAAATGTCTGAGTTGGAATATAGAACGATCAGCAGTGCAGTACAATGCCTTGGATCAAGTATTGGTTGCAAGGAATGAACTTGAAAAATATCCCAGAAGGCCAGAGGTGCAGACACTCTAAATATTTCCTTAAGAATATAGTGTTTGGTTCCTTCTTCTTTTAAAACTTGGAGCCTTTGAACATTACAAAAATAACACACATACACAGCAAAATAACTTGGTGTGACCCTCAGATTCCCATTTATTTTATATAGGGTATATAATTTGTTTCTAATGGAAAGAATTTACTGCTAAATCAAGTTTCAGGCCAGAGAGCTGACAGTAACGAAAGTTTATATACAATGTCAAAGATTATAATACATGGTCCCTACAAAATCTCATTATTTGTAAATATCTCATTGGATAATGATCACTGAAGAGTCTGCAGAACAGAGAAAAAGTAGAAGCCTCAGACAAGTATACCAAGATTCAAGAGACAAGAGCAACAGCAATCAAGGCATGCTAACCACTTCTTGGTCCCGGGGACAGATTTCCACAATTCAGACTGGGGCTGCTTCCATTGTTTTCCCATAATTGAATTCAAGCTGAAATCCTTGAAATATTCCAAGCGATGACTAAAGCAGAAAAGCACATTAGTAATATTCTGAACATGGTAAAAGAAAATGCTAAGTAACTTACCATGTAAAAAAAAATTACATTCGAGGAAAACTAAAAAAACAACATGGTTATATACTACTGTGGACTTATTAGGGAGGAATAATTTGTTGAGTGGTCCCTTTGCATTTTCAAAAGTTGCATCAATCCTCTAGCTTTTTGTGGCACATGAAGTCAGTACCTAGTTTACATTGAATACATAGGAGTACAGCAGATATATGGCAAAGAAACAGTTAATTTAGCCCAGGTAGTTCATGTTTTAAATCCAGTTGAGTTTCCTCTCATCTTTCTTCATTTAAATCTATCGTCATATTAATTTATTCCCTTCTTCCTCATGTTTGTGTAACTTCCCTAAAATGCATTTATGCTATTTGTTTCAAGTACTCCATGTAACAAGTTCTACATTTTCACTGTTTTTTGTAGAACTTTCTTCCAAATTTCCTTTTTGGATTTTTTTGTGTGATCGACATATCTAACTCTAGTTATTCTCTACCCTACAAGAATAAACTGCTTTGCGGAATCCACATCCTCAGAAACGGCCATAATTTTAACACTTTCCATTCAGTCACACCTTAGCCATCTTTTGTCAAAAGTCAACACACACACACACACACACACACACAGTACACATTTTTAGTGTCAAACTTAGAAATTGGATTCCACAGTCCAAATTGCTAATGTAAATTTTGAACAGCACTCCCACTCTCTAATTTCAGTCTCAAAACTAGTTGGCAATCCATTTTGCCATATATTCATTGACTCCATATTCAAGGTATTTTGCCAAAAGGCTTTTGAAAATCCAGATGAATCACATTTACTGCATTACCATTGTCTATTCTCTCTTTAACTCCATGCAGAATTCAATGAGGTTGATGAAGCAAGATTTTCTCTTTTGGAATCCATTTTGACTAATCATATTATATTTTCCATTACTATTTGTACTTTAATTACTTAGTTTAGTAGGGATTCCATTATTTTTGCTACCACTGATTTGAAGTGGTCTGGTTCATAATTCCCCTGGACAAATTCTGTCATTCTTCTTAAGTATACAAATTACATTTGAAATCCACATAACTAACCTTTATGTAATCAATTACTACATATGCAGTAATGGATTTTTGAAAGTGTGTGGTGCAAATCATCACATCAGTATTTTACATTCTTTAAACTTGTTAATTTGTTTAATTTAAACAAAATTTGATTTTTAAAATTTAATTCAGTGATATCTACCTTTTCTATATTTATTGAATATCTTTGTCATCACAATGACATTGTCTATGTTGATATTCTATCAATCCCTACTACCATCACAGCCTTCATTTTTTATTGCTGCTTCTGCAAACTATTTTGCGATTTGTTTTGTTTTTGATAACTTAACAGCTTCTCTTTGTTTTCACAACTTTTCTTTTACTTCTCTCCTAATTTTCCCATATTTCTGTCCTGTGATGCAATCTTCTACTGTAAATGCTTAGCACATGCCTCTTTATTAATTTTCAGTGGGTTCTTCATACCATTACTCATCCATGGAATTTCATTAGTGTCTAGTTTATTCTTTCCTTTTAGCAGAATGTAGTCCTGCATTCCACAGCACATCATTTTAAATGTTTCCTATTGTTGTTCTATATCATTGTCTAAAAAAATGAACATTTTACTTTCAAGTTTGATGCTCAGCCCTTCAGATCAGTTTTTCGTTAATCTTATGTCTTTCTCTGCCATCACTTAAGATGTATTGTATTATAGTCACCATTGCCTGGATGTTCTTCTACTTTTACTTCTCACATCTGATCTGGTTTACTCCCCATTACTAGATCCAATAGACCCAAAATGTTAACTCTACTTTCTCACCACAGATGCTGCCAGACCTATTGCGTTTCTCCAGCAATTTCTGTTTTTGTTTCAGATTTCCAATATCTGTTGTTTTTTTTTTGTTTACTGAATTTCACATGTTGAAATTTAGCTTCTTGGGGGTGGAAAGGAGTCCCGTACTCCTTGGAAAACTTGATTCCCTTATCTCCATTATCTACCTCTTCTGTCCAATTAATATCAGGGTAGGTGAAATCCTGCATCATTAATACTCTGTATTTTTCTCAATTCCCTGATTTGTTTGCATATTGCTTCATTTACCTCTATTTCATTATTATTGTTCTGTACACTATATCTTTTACTGGGACTCATCCTTTACTATCATTTATCTCTATGCACACAGATTCTACTTTTGTCCTGCTGCTAACGAAATCCCCTTTATTTCCACTGCCAGCTCCCTCTATATATCTTTTCTAAATATGCTAAACTCTGCAATGCTTCATTAACAGCCTTCATTTTGTTTTCATTAGCCACGTCTCAGTAATTCCTACCATGTCTGGTTCCTGTCAACACCTTCAGTTCCTCTGCCTTAATTGTGACACTATGTACATTACTGTCAAAACATTTTACCTCATTCTAAATAGGATTTCCTCTTACTTTAAGTTTAACTATCATTTTACTTCCTTATAATATTTATTCTCATGCCAAAGTCCTCCCTTTCTTTATTCTTTCCAATGCTCTCCTGCCGTGTTTTGTTCACTGTTAGGCTGCTCGAGGTGGTATGGTGGCTCAGTGGTTAGCACTGCTGCCTCACAGCATCAGGGACCTGGATTTGATTCCACGACCGGGTGACTGTCTGTATAGAGTTTGCACCTTCGTCCTGTTTCTGCATGGGTTTCCTCTGGGTGCCCCGGTTTCCTCTCTCAGTCCAAAGATGTGTGCATTAGGCGGATTAGCCATGGGAAATGCAGGGTTACAGGGACAGGGTAGGGGAGCGGATCTGAGTGGGATGCTCTTCGAAGGGTCAGTATGGACCTGATCGGCTGAATTGCCTGCTTCCACACTGTAGGGATTCTGTGATATATTTCTCCTGGCTCTCTCACCCCATGTTTGCCTTTGCCAAACCCCCAAATATTGATCAAACAATTTTATTTGAACGTAAGTTCAACTAAATTAGTACAAAATAAAGAGCCTAGGAGGGCACATTCAACAGCAAGTTAGAGTGGACAGCACTTGTGGTTAGATATAGTTTCACTTTCTGATCTTTGCCCTTTCTTCCAGCCGAGGAAAATTTCCAATGGATGGGTTGATGGCACCTTCTAACATCAAACTTTCCCTCAACTGATACCAATAAAAGAAAGAAGAGTGGTATTACAACCTCATCTTCCAGAAATCCCTAAATCAGTTACACACCAGCAAAGCCTGCCTGCGTGATGTTATGCCAGGATGGCACAGTCAGAGGTGGGCCTTATAACATGGGCCTTCCCCATGGCAATCAATTGCCCAGAAGAAGTTTGCTTCTGCTCCTTTTAAGAAAATGACACTCTGCCCACCTCTGGTACTTTTAGCTGTGGAACAAGATTTAGTGATGTTTAGATCAGCAGTTCTTGGAAGAAGTTGGGATGAACAAAGTCAAAAAAATTATCAGGTATAGGAATTATCATTTCAGTGTTAACTCAAGGACAACTTGAGGCCTAGTAAACTGTGGCTTGTTTCAAGAATTAAATGAATTGATTTTACAGTAAATGCATGTTATTACAATAGTACTAAACATATGGGCATTTATGCGTGAAAAAGATAAATCTGGTTCTTCAACTAATTTTAAATGTCTACTTAGCATTAAATTAGCAATTCCCTTCTTTAGCAGACAACCATAATTGACAAGGTATAACACTGAGTTAAAACTGCATCTTTGCAAATTAAAACTAGCTATCCTCTACTCAAAATAAATATTTGGAAACACCTGCATGCTTTATTATTTCAGTAGTATTGAATAAGACACAAAAATGTTTATCTCATGGTGTTAGGTAAATTTAATCCAACATTTTAGATTATTTTTTGCTAACTTATCTGATAAGCAAATTGCAAACTGTTAGGCATTAATAATTTCTTTAATTTCGTATTTCTATCCAGCTTTTTCGTTGTTCCTCAATAACCTTCAGCCAATAAATGCTTTTAAGATATTTTGCATCCATGTCTGAAAATCTCCTCAGATTACTGTTTTCCCAATATAGAGTGGACATTTTCTCCAAATATTGCTTTATAACATGTTGTTAACAGATGTGCAAAAGCAACACAAAAGTTCTCTGTTTTCATCTTTTTTTATGAATTAATGTCCAATGTCCAAAATTAGCATAAGATCAAAAAACCTACTGTGGGAGAAATTGTATCTGCAAACATCCTAGCATGCTACGGCACCACAGTGGTTAAGGGATCTAATAGTTAGTTGCATGCAATTCCCAGATAGACTTCACATGACCACATCTAGGGATGCCATGCATTGAAAATATCAGCGAATAAAAAGCAGAAATTATATATATATAAAAAATCAAATGTAAAGGACTAAATTCTATTTTCCAAATGGCAATTTAATAGTTTGAGTAAGGACATGTATATGAAATGCTCTGTTGATTGTGAAAGGTGAAAACATGGAACTTTAACTGAAACTAATAAAACGTGCATAAAAATCTTATGTGTACTATTATAATACACAGCAGGGACTATTACACAATTATCCACTGCTTCAGGTATACATAATTTATTGTCTAGCTGGAGCACAACTGACCACATTAGAGTGAAGAATGTTACTGCAATATCCTTTGCTGGATCTGATTATTGTAAAAGTCAAACTGTTGTCTGTGGCTACTCATAAGTCAATGTCTGCTCCAAGCATAAGAATTTGCAGTTTTATCAAATATTTATATATTCCAAACAGAAAGAGCAATAAATGGCAAACGTCTGCACTTACAAGTCAGGCTGTTGTCCCTTCTTCAATTGTTCTTTAGGTATGGGGTACAGAGCCTCGTAAACTCTTTTATCGCCAGAGCCATGAATTGCATAGGCATTGAATTTGTTAACACCAGGAGGAAAATAGTTCCATGGGAGGAGTGCTTTGCCTTCCCAGTTTTCTTCATGAATTGTACAGTCATATTTTAAATCTAGTTCTTTCTAATGCAAAGAAAAATGTTACCAGTTTCATATTTTTGAGTTTTAGTTTCATTTAGTAATACAGTTGCAAAGACACTCTTAAAAACTGAACCATAAACACTCTAGCACCAAATATGCTGTGAAGTAAAATTCAAAATAGAGACAAATATTCAAAATTAGAAACAATAGCTAGACCATGGAATCCCAGCATAACAGCCCAATCCAGTTGTAGGCACTACTTTAAGTGCAGCTCAAAGTGTATTAACAGAGGTAGAAACCATAGCTGAAAAATACATCAAAGAAAGAATGCTGTCCTTTTGTGCAGAGCATCTGTCTTTAACTTGCATCCAGCTTCGTAAGTTAGAAGTTCATCTCCTGCTACTGTCAGTAAAGGCCTTTAGTAAATTTGAAAAACTCTAGGTCTTATTCAGCATATTACTTAGTATTAAGTGAGAGTTTGTCTCTAAGAGGCAAAAGCATTGCTAATATGGAAAACTACAACAGCAAATCAATACAGGAGGGAGTGCTCTTCTGAGATTGTGGTGGGATAGAGAATCCCTTCAACCTTTGTTGACTATTTGGTCTTAAAACCCCTGTATGTGCTATTAGTAATCAAACCATCAGGTTTACTGTCACATAGTCTTCAAACACCCTAAATTTAAAGCTGCAACTGTCATGAAAATAAATAAATATTAGGGACAGCAAGATCCTAAACCCACTTCATAAAAATGAGTTTACATTTTCGTACACCTGTTGCCCAGAGGAAATCTGGCTCAGAAGTGTACGCACATAGCACCGAAGTAGAGAATATCTTAATTACTACAAAAGGTAACACATTAAAAATCTGGGTTCTAAAATTCCATATGTATTCTTTCAATTCAACTGCAGGAGGAAATCAGCTGAAAACTCAAAAACTTCATCAAAAACGACTCATACCAGTTTTCCTCTGGACATATGCAAAAGTTACAGTGCGATCCTGAGAAAATCCCAATAAAATTTCAGGATCATAGAAACTGTGAGGGTATTTGTTCTTGCCATCTTTGTAAATATATCAGTTAGCTAGTCAACAATTATTACACTATCATCATATTGCTTTCTAGAACTCACCTTCCATGCTTTTCCTTTACCAGCAAGCAATAGTACTAAATGTTGTCCATGTCTAATAACATTAAAACAAAGTAAGTTGTTAATACTAAAACCAATCTACAACACAAAAAAGAAATTCTACACTACAATGCAAGGTTAACATTAATAAAATGAATCAGACTGGAGTTCTCAGTCAGCCATTTTGCCAAGAATATGGGCTCCTTAGAGGTAGGAAGGAAAATTTTAAGATTTCTTTCTTATAAATTATCAGCATTAACTATACCAAGCCAAACAAATACAGGTATATAATATGGGGATTACTAAAGAGAGTAAAATACATACTTTCAAATAAAGGGGCAGAAATAAGTCAGTCCCGGCAGCAACATATCTTCGACTTACTTATAATGCATGCGTATATTTTAATTAGAAGAACTACAGTTTAGCTGATACCAAAGGGGATTTTGGTGGAACATTAGTATTCATACAACTGTTACGACAAAGTGTGCATGATTTGTAACACTGAGATTTAAAGCTGTTAAGGTTATAGTGACAAAAAAAACTTCCAGTACTTACGGACAGAGTTCCACTTCAAGGTACAGTTCTTTGCTGCTATTCAAGAAAAATGCTTCTACAACTGTTAAATGTGAAATATGAAAAATTTAAGGCTACAGAAAACATTTTTCACATGAATATGCTACTTTTCTAAGTTACTGTATCTGTTTCTTGGGACTGGGTCAGCTTCAAATGCAGGTGTTATACAATGTCTATGATCAATTTCTTTAAAAAGTGCATGTTCTGGAACTCACTGATGCAGGGCATACGGTGGCCTAATTGAGGTTAAGGGTGTATGAAAACCAAAGTGCTCTTGCCCAAAAAGTTCCTGGAAGTCCAATGTAATAACAAGGTAACTGGGACCTTGGTGAACATCAGCATCAACAGGATTTGGAAAGATAAATAATAGGGAAAGAAAGACTGCATTAGGAAGGAAAAATGATAGTTTTGAAATATAAAGTTAGTTATTTTTAAAATCTCCTACAATAATTCATTACCTGAATAATCGAAACTCCACATATAAGTTTTCTTTCACTGCCAGAGGTTGTTTAACCATCAGAAGCAATAATCTGATTATTCAACAGTACTTATTCTCTAAATTACTTATCATAAGTTTCTGTGGAAAGTTTAAAGTCCATGTATCTGCTATTGCAGCTACTTCCTGAAATGACATTTCACAGGTCAGGCTGCTGAAACCATGTCTTGATCAATTCTGCCTGACCTGTTGAGCATCTTCAGTATTTTCTGTTTTTACTTTACGCTCCATTACTTAATCAGTCAGTAAACAGACAAGTCAGAGCATGTGTTAACAACTGCAAACAAATAAACAGAAAAATGGCTTCAGTGCCTCTGGGTTACTTCATTGGGTGAAGTGAGAGAGAAGTACACAGGCACAGAATTTATAGTCAAGAGGGATCAATGGGCATAGAGATCAAAAGATCACACAAATGGTCTGCATGGAGTGTCAACAAGCCAAATAATAGGTCTCCGAAGGTGATCAAGTGTCAGACGGTGTAAGTAAAGTGTCAACGGCTGAATAACAGCTGTTATGACCCATAATCCTATTAAATGAGGCAGAAAGACAATTACAAAAAAAATTAAAAATAGGGTGGTGCTAGAGACATACCAAATGATTCGAATAACATAATAGGTATAAGAGTCGCATGCCGAATGTCTAACCAAAGTAATAAGTAATCCAAAACTGTGCAAACTAATTAAGGTAGAGAGATCAAAACAAGTTATCAAGGTGATGGTGTCAAAACAGGACAGTAAGGAAGATGTTACAGATACGCAACAGTGTGGTGGGGTTACACGTGGCGTGACATGACCCCAAGATCATGGTTCAGGTCATCATCATGGGTACGGAACTTGGCTATCAGTTTCTGCTCAGCAATTCTGTGTTGTTGTGTACCTCCACGGCGGCCTTCAAGATACACAACAATGTAGAATCACTGCGCAGAAACCAATAGTCAAAGTTCCATACCCATGAAGACGGCCTCAACTTTGATCTTGAATTCATGTCGCACTACATGTGACTTCACCACATTGTTGTGTACCTGTAAAATCTTCCTTACTGACACCATCACCTTGATAACTTGTTGTGATCTCTTTACCTTAACTAGTTTGCACAGTTTTGGATTACTTATTACTTTGGTTAGACACTCGGTATGCAACTGTTATTCCTATCGTGTTATTCCAGTCATTGGTTTATCTCCAGCACTGTCTTATTTTTAATTTTTTTGTAATTATCTCTCTGCCCCATTTAATTGGATTATAGGTCATCCCTTTGCTTGTTATTCAGCCTGTTGACACTCCATTCACACCATTTGTATGATCTTTTGATCTCTCTGCCTATAAATTCTGTGCCTGTGTGCTTTTCTCTCACTTCACCTGACAAAGAGGCAATGCTCCGAAAGTTTGTGTTTTCAAATAAACCTGTTGGACTATGACCTGGTGTTGTTTGACTTCTGACCTTGTCCGCCCCAGTCCAACACCAGCACCTCCACATCATGGGTTGCTGAAGGAAGAATAGACCAGGGTTCTAATACTAAGTGACCCATGGTTTAAATACATGCATGTGGATATGGGGTGAGAACAGAATTGTTTGGTTGAGAATGCCTTTGTGGTTCATTAACTTGAATGCTTACATTCGAATAATACACAGCCAGGTGATACACCTAAGCATGTCCAACATCAGTGGAACTATCACTTTCAAAAAGGAATTTATGCACTCAAATAAAAGGAAAATCAAATCATGAAACCAATCTTCACTTAGCCAGCCTTGTTGTTAATTTTGACATAAACTTTCAAAATAGTGACCGATAAATACACCTGTGTGTACACATTTCTTAACAAACATTGACTCTTGCCTTTTCATCGGTTTCTAGTCCATACATTGAGGGATTTGTTCATCATTTCAGCAGATAGCCAGCCAGAGGTGCAGTGGAAATCTTGATCGTTTTTTCAGGATTGAGCTTCATTTAAGTAAAACCAATGGGCTAGCCTCAAATATACATAAAATATGCATCATTCTTAAACTCATCAATTTGGGCTAATGCAAACCTAGTCAGTAGCAAGGTAGTTCCTGCGGATTGGTCAATCCAGTTACCACATATTAGCCTGTCTTTTGCTTTGAGCTTAATTTCATACTGCCCAGTTGTGAGGCAATGGAGATAAAGTCCTCCCCATAACAAATGAAAATTGTAAATGGAAAGGCTATGTGAGTGGATTTTCAAGTGACATTGAAAGCAAATCTATCTGCTATTATTTGTTTCGTTCCAGCACGGCTACAAATACATACTCTGCAAATCAATTTTGCCGCTCCTTTTGAAAAATAAGCCAGCATTTCACATGAAAGCACAATTCAATGTTGTTGACACTCAATGAGCTGGAAATAGCTCACAACTTCAAAAAAGACACATTAGGAGGTCCTCCCTAGAATCTGAATTTTAAAAAACTGCATGCAAAATATAAAGGTTTGCAAAATCTCATGAAATAAATAAATTATATTTTCAGCAAATATTCTGTGATTCTGGTCTCCCTGCTATAGGAAGGATGTTGTCAAACTTGAAAGGGTTCAGAAAAGATTTACAAGGATGTTGCCAGGGTTGGAGGGTTTGAGCTATAGAGAGAGGCTGAATAGACTCAGTCTATTTTCCCCAGAGCATCAGAGGCTGAGGGGTGACCTTGTAGAGGTTTATAAAATCATAACGGGCACGACTAGGGTAAATAGACAAAGTCTTTTCCTAGGGGTGGGGGGGAGGGGTCCAAAACTACACAGCACAGGTGCAAGGTGAGGGGGAAAGATTTAAAAGGGACGTAAGGGACAACCTTTTCACACAGACGGTGGTGCAGGTTGGAATGAGCTGCCAAAAGAAGTGACAGAGGCTAGTACAATTACAACATTTAAAAGGATGGGTGGGTACATGAATCGGAAATGTTTAGAGGGATATGGGCCAAATGCTGGTAAATAGGACTAGGTTTATTTAGGATATCTGGTCGGCAAACACGAGTGGAACAAAGGGTCTGTTTCTATGCTGCATGTCTCTATGATTCTATGACTCTAGAGAGAATACATTCTGAACAAGAGAACCTTTGGGGAGCAGAACAAACAGCACTTACATCTCAATTAGGTTTTACAAAATAAATTAACATTTATTTGTGAAGGTCTGTACTGTTCAGTATCACTAAGATATGTGTAACTTTTGCTTGAAGTTTGCAATATAGGTACAAATTAATCCCTACAACATGCACTTCTAAAACTTATAACGCAATCTGAACCTTAAAATATTGTATAGATAAATATTAGTGACCTAAGTTGTGGGAAATTATCTCAATGTAATTGGTTGCACCAATGTTGTAATGTCATGTTGTGATTTCCTTGATTTTGACTGTCACTTTGCTGGCAGAAATCTGCTAATCCACATTTAGTATAAAATTAACAACATCATCATGCCTGTCACAGAAAACGCTACAAGCAAGAATTTGAGAAGGAGAAAAAGAGCTTTATTTGTGTGCAAAATATTCAGCCTCACCACAAGCCATTATAAGCAAAGAGATGTATTTTCTTTAGAAAGAAAGTATACTATATGACAACATGCTTAAAATATTTTCCAGGTTCCTAATTTCAGTCCCTGTGACAAGAACATTGAGTTTCATTGGAAGGACATTTATTTACTTAAAAAAAGGAATGATTTTACTAACCTAGACCTAGGAGTATTAATGTCCAAAAATTAACATGACTGAACAAACATGATTCTAAATAATAAGAAAAAGTACATTGTAACAGGCTTGGAGATAGAAAGAACTGCAGATGCTGGAGTCTGAATCAATACAGTGTGGAGCTGGAGGAACACAGCAGGTCAGGCAGCATCACAGGAGCAGGAAAGTCGACGTTTCAGGTTTACACCCTTCATCAGGACTTTGCTGCTCTTCTGATGCTGCCCGACCTGCTGTGTTCCTCCAGCTCCACACTGTATTGACACTGATCGTAACAGGCTTTGGAAGTTGAATGTCGCAATAAAGTCTGTGGTATGGAGAATATTAGTTGACAGCCTATTTCACAGAACATGAACTCTTCAGGAGTTAGGCCTAACAAGGGACAGAGCTCTATTAATGGGGAAGTCTGATACAGACAGCAGGATTATTGGTTGGAAATCTGCTTCAACAGCAGATTGGAAATCTTCCCTATGTGAGTGGGTTCCACCAATGTCTATTCCAGGGGAACATTTCTCAATATCTGAGGTGTTCCTGAGGAATATTCCAAGCATAACCATGTAGAGGTTATCCACATAGTTTGTACCCCAGTGTTTGCATACCAGTCAATGAAAGTAGACAGGCAGGTGCAACAAGCAATTGGGAAAGTAATTGGTACATTGGCCTTCAATGCAAGAGGACTTGAGTTCAGAAGTAGGGCTGTCATACTACAGTTGCATAGGCCCTGAATGAGACCTGGAGTATTGTATGCAGTTTTAGTCTCCCTACCTGAGAAAGGATATACCTGCCGCAAAGGGAGTGCAGCAGAGGTTCACTACACCGATACCGGGGATGGCGCAGGACTGTCTTTCAAAGAGCATTTTGTTCGATTGTGTTTGAATTCACAAGAGTTTAGAAGTATGACAGGGTATTGATTGAAATGCATACAATCCCAACAGGGCTGGACAGACTAGATGCAGAGAGAATGCTTACCCAGGTTAGGGAGTCTAAAACCAGGAGTCACAGTCTTAAGATAGAGCAGGTCATTTAGGATTGACATAAAGAAATATTTCTTCACTCAAAATGTAGTAAATCTATGGAATTTTCTACCACAGAAGGTTGTGGAGCTGGATGAACACAGCAGGTCAGGCAGCATCACAGGAGCAGGAAAGTCGACGTTTCAGGTTCACACCCTGAAGGTTGTGAAGGCCAAGTCACTGACTATATTCAAGAAAACGTTAGATTTATTTTTAGATTTTAAAGGCATCAAAGAATATGGGGAGAAAGCAGGAATATGGCATTGAGAATTGGCCATAGTCACATAGAAAGGTGGAGCAGGAGCAAGAGCAGGCTTGAGGGGCCAAATGGCCTACTCCTGCTCCTCGTTATTATGTTTTTATATAAACCATGGCACCTTTTGCCAAACTACATCTTACTCCACTCACATATAAAACAATTTAGCTGGAGTTAGGAAAGGATGAATATAAAAGTGCATAGAGAAATGAAACCTAACACAGTTAAAAAAAAAGTACCCAATGACGTGAATACTATTTCATATAATAGTGCTGATAAGCCTTAGTGCACAGGAATAATGTTTCTTCTATGGTGAATGCTCTTTTTACATTGAATTCCAGATCTCAACTGACACATTTGGTGAGCTTCTGAATATGGCAATGGGAATACAAAGGATGATTGAAGAGGAATGTATCAAGATTATTCTGATACAGTTTTCTGTGCCTTCCATAGCCTGGAACAAAGTTTAGTACTTGTCCCAATTCTTTCATAGCAGCTGAAGGGAGCCAAGGGATAGGGATTGGGAAGTGCTTTATGGTTGTTTCCTGGAAAATAAGGCCTAAGCTTCATGAGGATGGCAAAGGAAGGGAATGAAAACTAAAATCTGCAGTCTGACACAAAAGTAAATTAACATTTACTGCAATGGTCAACAAGGCTTATACTTCAAGTTTGTGAACGTAATATATTAATAAAATTGGCACTTACTGTACCTTCAAAATCCCACAACTGATTGTAGGGTTTTCCTCTTTTACCAGGTGGAGCTGAAGGATCATTGAAGAAAGGCCCCTCCACCTCCATCAGTAAACCTTCTTCATCAGGTTTAAACGACAGTGATATCCCCCGGTGAGTCACTGGTGAACTATCCCACGTTTTTGTAATTGTAAATTTCATCAGGATACCAGTTTACTAGACTGAAGAAAAATGATTTTATTTCACTGCTTGATCTACTGCAAATATTACACCCTTAAAAATGTATCTATCCTAAATAAATTTAAAAGTTATTAAAAGTAGTCTATGTAATTTATCCACCAATTCACAGACATCTGTATTGAATATTGATGTGCAACTGCTTCATCTCGTGACTTAATCAAACTTAATAATTAAGTCACTCAAGCTTAAAAGCCAGTCTCAGAGAAATAAACGTTACATATTTTCTGAAAATCTATCTTTGGAAATTTTTTTTTCAAAAAACACAGGTCTGTGAAATAATATACAAATTACAACTGTTACTATCAGTTTTTTCTAAATATAAATAATATTAAGCTAGGGGATGCACTGAGAGCAAAGAAAAGGGGACATACTTAAGAAAGAATGCTTGCTGGTCAGCTGAAGTCTGAAAGCTGGTCTGAGACTGGTAGCAGATCCAAACTGATTGTATTCAGTCATCATATGGTATCAATTAACAAAACAGACAGAACATGTATATATATTAGCAAGTCAACAGAATATAGGACTGTGACTGTTATCTGAAGATATAGCTCACTGGTACACCTATATCTTCAATGTTGGGTTCAACTTAAACCATAAAAGTAAAGATTTGTATATGAATATTTCATTAATTGTATTGTTAACTTTAAGGGCAAGCAGGTGGAGAGTATTGATTGACTAAGTATCCGGAGTGCATGCAAGATCTCTTGTGGCACAATGGTAGTGTTCCTACGTGTGAGCCAGGAGGCCCAGGTTCAAGTTTCACCTGATCTAGAGACGTGTAGTAACATCTCCGAACCGGTTGATTAGAAAATATCAAGCTAGAATACCAGAAATGTTCCCCTGCTCCCCTTCAAAATAGTTCCCCTGCTCCCCTTCAAAATAGTTCCTGACTGCATGCAGGGACTCTAGTGGTGCAACGGTACTGTCCCTACCTCTGAGCCAGGAGCCAGGTTCAAGTTCTACCTGCTCTACAGGTGTGTAACCAGGGTGATTTAAAAATATCTCCTGAGCATATATGAAGTTACTATGTTTATTTATTTCATGTTTGCTCAAAAGAATATAAATAAAGGGACTCCCATGCCTGATTTGGTAGCATGCAGACCTCTGTGTTAGAAGGTTGTGGGCTAAAGTCCCAATCCAGCATTTAAGGACAAAGACCAAATAAAGGACTGCTGCATTTCCAAAGGAACCTCTCATTTGAATGAAATTTTAAATGGATGCACTTGAAGATGGATATAAAGGAACCGATAAAAATAGACTCAGAGGGGTCTTCAGGGCCTGACAAATATTGGCATTAACAGATCCATGCAGTGGGCCTTTGAAGGGGTTGTTCATCCTTCTTGTCTCTCTTCCACGTTTACATTAACAACTAAGTGTTGTTTGACAGGGACCACATGATGTCTGCCAGTATGCTCTGCGTCTTCTGTAGGATGGAACGCATCTTCAGCCCAAGTAATGATGTTTTCACTGGTTTGATATTCAGTCCAGTTCTCTGTTAAGGTAATGTTAATTAATTTATTTTGTTTAAATGTTGTACTCAAAGAGTATAAAAAAGGATGGCTGGCACATTGATGTACATCTGAAGACATTTCCTAGTGAGGCTGATGGCCAAAAGTTGTTTGTGCCATCAAGATAACCCTGGACATTTAGTTTAGGCACAATAACTAATCACTTGCAATCCTTGGACCTCTGTTTTCAGACACAGATTATTCTCTGCTTCCATTTAGGAAGTTCTAAGGAGGATCCATTGTACCATGTATCTCCTATCAAACTCAGCATCAGAAGTCACACAACACTAGGTTATAGTCGAATAGGTTTATTTGAAATCACAAGATTTTGAAATTACAAGCTTGCATTGCTCCGAAATCTTGTGATTTCAAATAAACCTGTTGGACTATAACCTGGTGTTTTGTGACTTCTGACTTTGTCCACCCCAATCCAATACCGGCACTTCCACATCAAACTTAGTGTAACAGGGAAGATCAAGCTGACCATTGTTTTAAGTTGAGTTGCAACAAGTCATGACAAAGTCCAAGAAAAGAAAACAACTTGTATGTATATAGTGTCTTATCACATCAATATATCTGAAAGAGCTCCACAGAGTTTCAAAGAATGCATTATTAATTGTTAATAATAATTACAAACCATCCACATTTAAATTGGGCAGTGGTTTATGCCACCCAGAAAGAGATAATTGTAAAGGATCCCTACTTCTGGGCCAGAATGCTGGGTCCAAGTTCCATGCTTCTTGTAGGTGTGTTATAAATGTCAAAACAAGTTGATTTAAAAAAAAGACATAACCAAAAGCAAATTGTATTAACAACAATTTCAAAGTTGTCAGTATCAACATTTAAACTGCACCATTTATTTTGGTAGAAACAGCTAAGCTCACTCACTAGTTCACACACTGTCAAAGTGTACTAAATGCAACAACAAGTTTGAGTAAGTACCTTGTTAATGTTTAAATTATGTGTCTAAATTGTGAGGCCTTCTGACTTGTACTTCAAAAATTTAGCTGTCCTAGAATTGCTCCACGATGAAATGACTGCAACGGTCTTGAATGGGAGATCTGAAAAAGATTCCTTCAAAATACAGACTCGGGTCAAGGAAAGTCGTGAGATATACTCCATACCATTTACAATTACCTGACTGTAACTACTCAGCTCAAAAATCAATTGTCTTCTGGTGTCATTATTAAATACCAGCCAAAGCTGAACTGACAACCATACATACACATGCTCTACAGTTTGTGATGACTGCAGTGGTACCACGCTTCACCAGATCTGCAAGCCAGTTTCTCTCTCCAATTACTGGTCCGCCAAATGCTCAAGTTCTAAGTGTTGAAGAGGAAACTCTGGAATATGTTAAGTACTTTCTATACTTTGGCAGCTACTTCTTTGCAAAATCCTGCTGAGCTTTTCCAGCAATTTTTGTTTTTTGTTTCTGATTACAGCATCTGCAGTGTTTAGTCTTCAAAGGCACCCTGAAACTCTCATTGGAAGCCTGTCAGCATTTAGGATGAACTTATTGTCTATCATACAGAATGGTAATGACTTGTCCATCACACTGATTCATGCTTTGAATCACAATGTTTTAAAGATGAGGCTAAGCGGCAACAGAGAAGAAAAATAAGGACGTAAATTCTGCAATCCAGATCCCGTTACTTGGGATATTTTTATTATGTTAGACATGCTGTATAAATACAAGGGATTACTGTTATAAATCATGTGCATTGTCATCTATGAAAAAAAACGTTGGTTGCCTTGGAAACACTCCAATAAATGCACTGCTTTTGCAAAATAGGAATCAATAATTTGGCCTTTTAAATTTTTAATTTTATATTCTTTGTTCCTGAAACAACATTAATATATCTTCTAACGAAAGAAACAAAATCAGCATTCAACAATAAGTGACAATATGACTATTATCTAAAATGTTTGGCATAATATTGCAACTGTGAACAAAGTCTACTCTGGATGCAATACAAGGAAAATGACAACGATTGTGATGGACAAGTACCAGCAGTTATTGGAGACAAATGAGGTTCAAACAAGCTCTTTCATGGTTCAAGGGACAAGAAAGTGAAGCGCAATGAATAAGGAGAATTAGTGGCATGACGTCTGAATAGCTAAAGTGGAAATGACAGATATTTGTGTAAAGTTGGAAATTATGTCTGCTGTTGGACTTTGAATGACCATATAAACATCAGTACTGCATATCATTTTTCAAAGTGTTCACTTTACGAATTCATCATGAATGTGAAGCTATTCTTCTCTTTTTATCTGCCTAAATTACTGAGATTGTTGACTTACTCACCGAGCTGCCTCATTTTCGTTAGGTAACATCATCAGTGAGACTTCCAATGAAAGGATGTTGTTCTACTCCAATTGGAATTTGTACTGTCTGGTCCATTATGGTGAGTAGTGTAATTTTCAGTTTTGATCTGTATGGGTTTGTATATGGGGTCCAATTCTATATGTTTGTTGACTGCATTACTGGTTGAGAACCATGCCTCTCGGAATTCCCGTGCATGTCTATGTTTGACTCGGGCTACTATAGTTACATTGTCCAAGCCAAACATAGACATGCACAGGAATTCCTAGAGGTTAGGAGCTGAGCACCCAGGCAGAACCCAAACCATCGGTCAGCAGGTTATTATTACTACATCAGTGCTGCTTGATAGCACTGTTGGTGACCCCATCCATAATTTACTGACGATCAAGATTAGACTCAGGGACAGTAACTGGCTGTGTTGGATTTATGCTGTTTTTTGAGTAAAAGCCATTTCTGGGCATTCTTCCCCATTGTCCAGTAGATGCCGATGCTGGAGCTATGCTGCAACACTTAGCTAGGGATGCAGCAAGTTCTGGATCACAACTCACAGTATTATGGGGGATCCTTTTCGATGTCAAGTTTAGCTCAATTCACGGCACTCCGTTGAGTTAGAAGGCTGTGGATTCACATCACATACTAAGATTTGGGCACATAACCTCAGCAGATATTTCTGAAGTACTGTGGGACTTTCAACACATGATGCCTGAAATTAAATTTAATGTCTGATTTTCTCCAGGTTTGAAAATTGGGGATATCATAAAATCAAATGCAAGGTCTTCTCAATGTCTCCCCAACTCACATTGGTGTCTGGTTCTAGCAACAATTTCCACTGGGAACGGCCTGTTTTCCTACCCTTCACACCTTGATGTTGCTGGGACTCCAGAGATGCCAAACATAAAATTGGACAGCAGCTCACTGATGGAGCTTCTTGTTCCTAAGGTGTGGAAATCCTGCCTCCAGACTATTTAAATGACCATTAATGACAGCAAGATAGCTGTTCATCCCTTTGGCAGGTTCGTCACTGAACTTTTAGCCAGGGTTGGGGATTGCACATAGGGATCAAGATGTTCTCTTAAGTGATTATGTGATCTCCTTCTGCACTTCCATGAATTTTACTTTATATCATGGTTACTTTCAATAATGAAGGGTGAACCCAACAAAGAAAAAGGGAGTGCTGCCTGATAAACTGAGGTCCATCTGTCTTCTCAGATGAAAGTATAAGGTGCCATATTACAAACCAAAAAGCAGTGGAGGTAGGGCTTGTTCTCCCCGGTATCCTAGTCAACAAGTTTTTTTCCAAACTAACGTTGCTAGTAAATAGATCATCTGGTCATTATCAGATTATCACTTCTGGCTCCTTGCACAAAAATTGGCTTTCGCCTCTTAATTACAATATAGATTTCACATCAGAGGCACGTCATTGATTGCCCATTGGTTTTCTCATTAGGGTCTTTTGTGGAGGATGCATTTGTGGCTAATGCCATCTGGTGCCAATGCAAGGTGGAGCCAACTGTGTGGACATGCGCAATAGATACTTCTTTTGCTTCAATGTTCATTTATTATGGATTCACCCCATGAAGCATTTTGGATGTTTTTAGTGTTAAAGACTTTGCTGTTTTCAGAATGGAACGACGTATTCCAATCCTGATGGTAATACATAAAAAAACAAACATGAAAGATAGGAAGGAACCTCAATCACATCAGTTTGTGAATAAAGTCTGTGCTTTATGTGCATGGCAGTGCTTTCTGGTTTCTCATTGAGTCTCTTCTGTTTCTGATGGATAATCTGTAGATAGACAGCTTGCCTTTTGTTCTAAAATTAAATCAATGAATTGAATCATCTGAATTAAAAGCCTGCATGGTTCGAAAATAGGAGCTGATGTGACATGATGCATGCAACTGCACATGCATAGATGGATCACGGTGACCATATTACGTTGGGAATATACGCTCCATTTGGTCATGTATCTCTACAAGGATCACAACAAAGTTCACTTACAATACATTAACCCTATCCATCTTCTCTATTTCAATTCAATTCAACCAAGTTAGCTAAATGCAAATTACTTTGAATAAATGTGTCTGGGAATCTTGTGGCATGGTGGTAGCATCCCTAACTCTGAGCCAGGAGGTCTGGATTCAAGTTCCACCTGGTCCCAGAGGTGTGTGGCTTTCTTTAATTAATGCATCCTTGTTTAGGTGACTGTTAACCTTATAACAGATTATCATTTCTAACGGCTTCGTGCCACCAAGATTAAACTGGCCAGGCCTGCAGTTGCTCGTTTTATGTTGGCACAATTTTTTTAAACAAATGTATAATGTTTTCAATTTCCAGAGATTCTACTGGAATCAATTTCTTAGTAACTTGGTTTTGAGATCCCTAAACATGGCTGTGTTTTTATATGTGCTTTATGCCCAGCTCAACAAAAATTCTATATCACTATTACCATTTTCTTTGATTGCTACAATCTTAACTTTCCTTGTGGGTAAAGACACAAGAGCAGCTTTTGAATGGACTAATAATTTAGAAATTATGTGAGAAGTAACAGCCCGTATTACAACTGTAACAATGCTTATGATTGTGATGCATTCCTACAGTCACATATAACATGATATATACTTTTATTTATGTAACAGTACAATATTTATTAAGAGTTTTGCAATAGTGATTGCTAAACTTTTTAATTACCTTTAAAAGGGAAACAAAGTCTTGTGAAAATCTTCCAGCAAACTATGTTTATTTGTAAACACATAAGAAACCGGTTCATAATGTTTCATACTACATTTGCAAAACCATGATAAATGGGATGGAGTTGAAGAAACATACACTTTAAAAATACATATTTACAGGAGGCACCAATGTTGAATTATATATTATATATTATAAAATATAATGAATTATATTATAACACTTGCATGCATTGTAGAAACAGGTCATTACCAAACATAAAAACAAATCAAAACCACTTGTTCCTAAAATTTCAAACTATTGTAACCATTCCCCTGGGAAAATTTCACAACCCTGGTTCTTCACTCCTTCTCCTTCTGGGTTCCCGTCCCATCACATACTATCCCAACAGGCTCCTATCTGCATGCCCGCCATGGCCTCTATTTCAACTCCAACTGACCCTGGGCGTTTATATCCACTCAGCATCTTTCCACACTCTACAATATTCCTTGCCCCTACTCCAACTACACCCAACTCTGGGCTCCAGACCCTAATCTAGACTCCATTACAGTGAGCAGACATCCTGATTCACACAGCACAATCCTGTTGTTCTATTCACTGCTCTGATGCCTTGGCAATTTCCTACAAATAGCTTAACCTTAGCAACCTTGTCAAAGAAAAACTTGTCAAAAAAAGACCAGTGAGAGAAAATCTGTGTGAAATGTAATTTCTTTTCTGTAAGCACCAATTACATCACATGCAAACAGCAGACATGCATCTCTCCTCCTGACTCCAGCCTATCCTACCTTTGACATCTCCAAAGAAGTTGTCATTATCATTGTGGCACCAAGAGCTCCGTTGCTGGATACCCTTTTAAATGATTCTGAGAGATATCATTGCATGGCCTCATAGCTTCAACATCCCTTCCCCAAACCGCTGCCAGTCACCCAAAAATGTGCATCATCACAGACCCCACCTCCCAACCTCCCATGACTTTTCAATGTGGCCCAGCAGTGACTTTTGAAAATCTGGCCACCCGAGGTTCCCACCCCCTTTACTGGGATCATTTACACACCACTGGCCTGGCCTGTGTGCACCCCAATCCCATTCTGCAGCGGTCTCTGTCCCAACAACACCTGACACTGCACCTTCGGTGACAAGTCATGCTCAAACAACTCCACAGAGGCCACTCTCCCATCACCAGTTCACCCTTTATTTACACATGCATAGTACTTGACACGAGCTTTGGTTTCCTCAGAGCCAGCTCTCAGAGTGAGCAGAGCCCCTGAGATGCCTGTTTGTATGTGTCAGCCAGGGCTCCCTGACTGGACCAGGTTAACAGCCCCAATCAGGGAGCTCACATTCTAAGGTCCATAGGGCTGACCTTATTGTGATCACTACAATCCCAGCTTCACTCTGGCCCCAATCCCCCAACCAGGCCTCAATATCTTAAACTCTATTCCCACCCTCACCCCATTCTGGGCAATTTATCCCACCGTCATTCCAGACACACATTCCCTCTCCTATGCCCCAAGCCCCTACACCCACCTCCCTCTCTCTGGTGAAGTTTAAAGCAATGACTGCAGTCATGTCAAACAAAAATCACAGGGCGTCAGCGTGATAAAACCTCCTCGACGGATCAAGAAGTTACTTCGCGCTCTGTAATAACTACTATTCTGTGTGCTGCTAATGTGCTTGGACAAACTTACCGAAGAATTAAATTCGTCTGGAAAACTGCCTTCGATCTTCTATAGATCGCTTCAGCCGCATTAAATTGATGTGGGTTGGATTGGGGCGAATGTAAATAAACAAACACTGACAGGAAACTGTCTGGTAGCTCGGGGAAGGGAGTGGGGGTGCGAAATAAGATCCTCCCGCGGAACTCCAGTCGAGGTTATTCTTTCCTCCCGGAAGGTTCAATTTGGTGACAACTGCGAGCTGTTCGGCGGTTTTTCAAAAAAAGAAAACGATCCGAACTGTTCGGCGGAAGAAGGTGTGTGTGTGTGTGAGGGTGGCGGGGGGTGAGTGTGCGCGGACGGTCCCGGTGTAAAAGCGTCGGTTAAATAAAACGGTGGGCAGCGGAGGATTGTGCGGTGATTGATTTTTGAGGGTGACGTCTCGTATTTAACTGCCGTCGGTGTCGGTTTGTAATGGTGGAGAGGGGGTTGGGGGGGAGGAGGAAGAGGGCGGGGAGACCCGCCGGAGCCTTTTTGTCGTCAGGTCAGTGCCCGCCGGCCACGCCCCGTTTCCAAGGTGATCTGGGCCCGCCCCC